GATTTTCTTCAACCATTGCCTAGATTCATGGCTGAGACCCCTTTAACAAAAGACAGATTAACAAAAGAAATGCATGCAATTTTATATTTTATTTTATACACACACGCGCACACACACACACACACATACATACATATATGTATGTGTGTATTTATATATATATATGGTTTGTTTGTTTTTTTGAGACAGAGTCTTGCTCTGTTGCCCAGGCTGGAGTGCAGTGGTGCCATCTTGGCTCACTACAAGCTCCGCCTCCCAGGTTCACACCATTCTCCCTGCCCCAGGCTCCCAAGTAGCTGGGATCACAGGCACCTACCACCACACCTGGCTAATTTTTTTATATTTTTAGTAGAGAAAGGGTTTGGCCATGTTTGCCAGTCTGATCTGGAACTGCTGACCTCAGGTGATCCGCCCACCTTGACCTCCCAAAGTGCTGGGATTACAGGCATGAGCCACAGCGCCCGGCCTCCTTTGTTTTTGTTTTATTTTGTTTTATTTGTTTGTTTTCTTTGAGACAGTCTCTCTCTGTTGCCTAGGCTGGAGTGCAGTGGCATGATCTCGGCTCTGGGTTCAAGGGATTCTCGTGCCTCAGCCTCCCAAGTAGTTGGGATTATAGGCACCTGCCACCACGCCTGGCTAATTTTTGGTGTTTTTGTTTTGTTTTGTTTTATGAGATGGAGTCTCGCTCTGTCCCCAGGCTGGAGTGCAGTGGCATGATCTCGGCTCTGGGTTCAAGGGATTCTCGTGCCTCAGCCTCCCAAGTAGTTGGGATTATAGGCACCTGCCACCACGCCTGGCTAATTTTTGGTGTTTTTGTTTTGTTTTGTTTTATGAGATGGAGTCTCGCTCTGTCCCCAGGCTGGAGTGCAGTGGAGAGATCTCAGCTCACTGCAGTCTCTGCCTCCCAGGTTCAAGCGATTCTCCTGCCTCAGCCTCCTGAGTAGCTGGGACTACAGGTGTGTGCCAACACGCCCAGCTAGATGAAAGGTGACATGATCTCGGCTCACTGCACCTTCGTCTCCCAGGCTCAATGTTCGTCTCCCACCTCAGCCTCCCGAGCAGCTGGACCTGTCTTTTTAAGTCCACACTCCAATCCTTCCACCTCCAGAAATCTTTCCCTAGTTCTTTTAACCTTTGTTTTCTTGCTTTTTATGTTTATGTTCTTTGACATAAGCTTTAACCTTTGGTTATCCAATTTTTGGTACCCAAATGAATACACAGGACTGGGTCTTAGACTTTTTTGGTAGCCCTTTCAGGTTTAGTAAAGTGGCACGTAGTGAATTTTAGTGAATTGATTGAATGAGAGAATTATTTCTTACGTAATATGCATATTTCATTAATTGTAAGTTGCACATTTTTTCACATTTTAGCATCTGTGAAATGAGGATGCGTTCTATAATCCATGGCTACATGACCATCATGTTACAATTGTGACAGCCTCTCTAAAACATAGCCATAATTCCTTTGTCTTACCTAAGATAATTAACAGTAGTAATTCCTTATTGTCATCAAATTTCTGGGAGTCAAACTTTAAAATAACTGAATATCACAATTCAGTTATTCTCTGTATTAACATATCCAGAGTCTGGGTGTTGTGGCTCATGCCTATAATCTCAGCACTTTGGGAGGCTGAGGCAGGAGCATCAGTTGAGCCCAGGAGTTATGATGGCACCACTGCATTCCATCCTGGATGACAAAGCAAGACACTATCTCTAAAAATAACAATAATAACATATCCAGATACTTTTACCAGTTGTTATTACTATAAATTAGCTAATTCAAATTTTCATAAAATTATATTAATAGTTTTTATGTTTTACAGAGTAAGCCATATCAAAGACTTCATTGAAAAATACCAAGGATCTCAAAGAAGTCCTCCATTTTCCCTGGCAACAGCTCTTCCTGTCCTCAGGTTGCTAGATGAGACACTCACACTGGAAGAAGCAGATTTACAGAATGCCGTCATCATTCAGAGACTCCAAAAAACTGCTGCACCTTTTAGAGAACTTTCAGAGCACTGATTTTTGATAGACTAAGTGGAAACTTTGCAAAGAAATGATGGTTGTAAGTGGACATGCAAACCAAAATTGGGGACTGGAGAAGTCAGACTCACTAGACTTTTGGTTTGAGTACTGTTGAACTCTCTCCTAATGAGAAGATGTTTAGATAAGTACAAGTTAGGAAAGTAGCATATGACTGGAAACTATATTCAGTGCACTTTCTCCAAAAGGCTACTCAGAAAAATAGACTTATTTTCAAATACCAGTTATCAATATATATTAAATAGCTGTATTATTTAGAATCTTAATATGGTATAAATTAGCGAATGTGTTCACAATATTCATTCAAACATCATTCCTGGACAGCAGGGATTTATTTAAATGTTAGCTGCCTCAGAGTTTTTAAACAGCTAAATACGACCGGGCGCGGTGGCTCACACCTGTAATCCCAGCACTTTGGGAGGCCAAGACAGGCAGATCACAAGGTCAAGAGATTGAGACCATCCTGGCCAACGTGGTGAAACCCCATCTCTACTAAAAATACAAAAATTACCTGGGCATAGTGGTGCACATCTGTAGTCCCAGCTACTCGGGAGGCTGAGGCAGGAGAATCGCTTGAACTCAGGAGGTGTAGGTTGCAGTGAGCTGAGATTGAGCAACTGCACTCCAGCCTGGCGACAGAGCAAGACCCCCTCTCAAAAATAAATAAAATAAAATAAAATAAAATTGTGGCCGGGCGCAATGGCTCATGCATGTAATCCCAACACTTTGGGAGACTGAGTTGGGAGGATCACTTGAAGCCAGGAGTTTAAAATCAGAATGGTCACCAGAGACCCCTGTCTATATATTTTTTTAATTTAAAAAATAAAAATAAAATTGTGTAGCTTAGTATAGTGTCAAGGTTAATCTGCCTACTCACATTTCTACACTTTCTAAAAATGTAGAAAACCTATTCCCTTTCCATTTTATTTTCTTTCAAAAATTACAGATTTGTTTTTGGCTAACATTTGGGATTAGCCATTCATTTGCCACCACTCAGAATCTAATGCCTATATGTGTCACATTACTAATATTTTTTAAATGCATCACATAAAATATGGTTTTCTGTTTCTTTTTTTGTTTGTTTGTTTGTTTGAGACGGAGTTTTGCTCTTATTGCCCAGGCTGGAGTGCAGTGGTGCAATCTCGGCTCACCACAACCTCCGCCTCCTGGGTTCAAGCGATTGTCCTCCCTCAGCCTCCCAAGTAGCTGGGATTACAGGTATACACCACCACGCTTGGCTAATTTTGTATTTTTAGTAGACACAGGGTTTCACCATGTTGGTCAGGCTGGTCTCGAACTCCTGACCTCAGGTGATCTTCCCGCCTAGGCCTCCCAAAGTGCTGGGATTACAGGTGTGAGCCACTGTGCCCAGCTGGTTTTCTGTTTCATACATCACAGTCAACTTGTGAATACATTTAAAGATTATTTCATTGTGATATCACGAAGAAAAACATGCTTTATATCTTAGACTTTTAACTAAATCCAGTTAGACCTCAATTTTTCACTGTCAGATTAAATCCCCATACCTGAAAATAAGTTTAACATTTTTTTTTTGCAAATGATCTGTTGAATCAGATTCAAAATGAAGTATGCATTGAGTGTGCCAAGGAACTAAGTGGTCCATAGCAGCAGTAATGTTCATAGGGTGCGAGATGCATGCCATGAAGCAGCAATTCTCAAACATTTTTATCTCAAGACCATTTGTTTATGTGAGCTGTATATATTACCATATTAAATATTAAATGCTTAAAATAGTTATTTATGGGCTGGGCACAGTGGCTCACGCCTGTAATCCCAGCACTTTGGGAGGTTGAGGCGAGGGGATCACAAGATCAGGTGATCGAAACCATCCTGTCCAACGTGATGAAACCGCATCTCTACTAAAAATACAAAAAAAAAATAGCTGGGTGTGGTGGCGTGTGCCTGTAATCCCAACTACATGGGAGGCTGAGGCAGGAGAATCACTTGAACCCAGGAGGCAGAGGTTTCAGTGAGCCGAGATTGCACCACTGCACTCCAGCCTGGCAACAGAGCGAGACTCTGTCTCAAAAAAAAAAAAAAAATTCATTTAAAAATAATAACTTCTGGCTGGACGTGGTGGCTCACACCTGTAATCCCAGCACTTTGGGAGGCCAAGACAGGTGGATCACTTGAGCCCAGGAGTTTGAGACCAGCCTGGGCAATAAGGCAAAACCCCATCTATAAAAATTACAAAAATTAGTCCGATGTGGTGGCTCACACCTGTAATCCCAGCACTTTGGGGGACTAAAGCAGGCAGATCACCAGAGGTCAGGAGTTCGAGACCAGCCTGGTCAATGTGGTAAAACCATGTCTGTACTAAAAATACAAAAATTAGCTGGGCGTGGTGGCATGTGCCTGTAATCTCAGCTACTAGGGAGGCTGAGGGAGGAGAATTGCTTGAACTCAGGAGGCAGGGGTTGCAGTGAGCCGAGATTGTGCCACTGCACTCTAGCTTAGGCAATAGAGTAAAACTCTGCCATAATAATTTTTTTTTTTTTTTTTGAGATAGAGTTTTGCCCTTTCACCCAGGCTGGAGTGCCATGGCGCAATCTCGGCTCACTGCAACTTGCGCCCCCCAGGTTCAAGCGATTCTTCTGCCTCCCGAGTAGCTGGGATTATAGGCACCCACTACCACGCCTGGCTAATTTTTGTATTTTTAGTAGAGATGGGGTTTCGCCATTTGGCCTGGCTGGCCTCTTAACTCCTAACCTCAGGTGATCCACCCGCCTCGGCCTCCCAAAGTGCTAGGATTATAGGCATGAGCCATTGTGCCTAGCCAATAATAACTTATAAAACATGAAACAATTTAGTGGGAAAAGCGGCCGGCTTTTTTTGGGGAATTACTTTCTGTCATAAAGAAGATAGATGGGTTCTCATGTCTTCTACATTCAGTCTGTTATGCAGTCACATATCATGTAGACTCTGGAAAAAACCACTGTACACTTGTGAAAGAGTGAAAAGGAGCAAATAACGCCTTAGTATGATTATGAAAAACGTTTTGACTTCACAGTGCCCTGAATGGGTCTCGGGAACCTCCAGGGATCCCTCAGGCACACTTTGAGAACCAATCTATATAAAGTGATGGTTCACAATGATTCTCAAGCCTTAGTTTCAGAATCATTTGGGGCAGCTTTTCAAAAATGCTATTCCTGCCACCTACCACAAGGATTCTGATTCATTGTGTCTGTGATGGGTCTCAGATCTCTGCATTTTTAATCTTACATGATTCTTTTTTTTTTTTTGAGATGGAGTGTCGCTCTGTCACCCAGGCTGGAGTGCAGTGGCCGGATCTCGGCTCACTGCAAGCTCCGCCTCCCGGGTTTACGCCATTCTCCTGCCTCAGCCTCCCGAGTAGCTGGGACTACAGGCGCCTGCCACCTCGCCCGGCTAAGTTTTCGTATTTTTAGTAGAGACGGGGTTTCACTGTGTTAGCCAGGATGGTCTCGATCTCCTGACCTCGTGATCCGCCCGTCTCGGCCTCCCAAAGTGCTAGGATTACAGGCTTGAGCCACCGCGCCCGGCCTAATCTTACGTGATTCTTAAGTATGAGGTAGAAGTACCTTTCTTCAGGAAATTCTGTTCTAAGCTTTTACCCTGAGAAAATAAAACCTGCATGCTTTCACCAGGGACAGTGGAAGACTCCACTGAAACAGATCTGCTAGACCACTAAGTTTATCCTTGTCACCCAGTTTGCTCTTGGAAAGAGTCTGTTACCTTTTGTCGCTGAACCAATCATGACATAAACTTGTGCTTTACCTCCTGTAGCACAGCCAAGACAAGGCTGGAACATTTAATTAAGGTTTTTACTAAGGACTCAGGAATAGCAACAGGGAAATATCTATGTAACTAAATGACCTGACATAAAATCTATCTTCTGATTACAGTCTATTGTGAGAATGCTGCTTTTCCTAGCTCCCAGCCTGCCTTAGGGCAGAAGGCTGTCTTTTTATTAGGAAAAGAGGGAGGACAAAGGAGAGCCTTTTCCTTTTGTCCGTTACTCTTAGAAATGAATAGGTACATAATAGAAAATAAATATTTATTGTTGGTAATGTTTACACAGCAATGTTAGAGCCTCTCTGTAGTGAAACAAAAATAATATTCTTACCAAAAATTAAAAATTAAAAAATGAGGCAATGGTAAAAATCAATGAACTTATCTTTCTGATATAGAAAATAACACGATGATTGTTAATACGTGTTCAGGAATCTAAGAAAATGTTTCATACAGGCCTATCATGTAGCATTTTTATTTGCATAATTATGGTCAACATATGATTCTCCATATAGGGGTCTCATTGAGCATGTTTCTTGTGTACCAATAGAAAAGCCTCTTTGGTAGATTTTCCGGTTTATAATTATTTAACCAGAAGATACACAGGAGGTTCTATTGTATGTACCTGTAGAATACATCCCAGTAAGGGTCCTATGGAGAAAGACCTGTCGTCAGCAATAACCTTCATTATTCTAACTGTGAAACGTTCATTAATGTGAATAATATTCTCAAAGGTTCTCTACAATGAGAATCATCCAGTAAAGCTTTTTACCTGACAATTTAAAAGTTGTAAAGTTGTTAGTTAAATATGTAGAATTATCAAAAGAGATTGACTTTGGAAAACAAACTGAATTTGCTAAGGGAAGGAAAACTTGAAAATAATCATCTTAGATGTGGAATACAATTTGACCTAAGCAATTGTTTCAAAACTGTCTTCAGTTTCTTGAAAAAAATTGTTAGGGATGATATATAGAAATACATATCTAGGCCAGGCACGGTGGCTTATGCCTGCAGTCCCAGCCCTTTGGGAGGCCGAAGTGGATGGATCACGAGATCAAGAGATCGAGACCATCCTGGTCAACATGGTGAAACCCTGTCTCTACTAAAAATACAAAAATCAGCTGGGCGTAGTGGTGCGTGCCTGTAGTCCCAGCTACTCAGGAGGCTGAGGCAGGAGAATCACTTGAGCGCCGGAGGCAGAGGGTGCAGTGAGCCGAGATCGCGCCACTGCACTCCAGCCTGGGCAACAGAGCAAGACTCGTCGCAAAAAAAAAAGAAAAAAGAAATACATATCTAATGTTACAGATTCTGGTTTATTGGTTAATTACTATGCATTTTTTTCCGTTTAAAAAATAATCTTATTTTATATACTTCTCTCAGTATAATTTTTCATGACATTTCAGCATGTTGATAATATGTGTGCATCTATTTCAGTGCCTTAAAGTATTTTCAGAGCAATCTTTTGCTGACAGTTAAAGAACTGTTAAGAATGAAATACTGTTCATTAAAAGGATCTGTGAAATCATTTACCCTTGTTATAAAATAGTTATATGCAAATACACTTGTCATTTTATTTGGCAGAGTCATTCAGTTTGATAATCAAACATTTATTAGGTGCCTTTGCTTTAACCAACATTACTTTCATTTAATACTCAGAAATGTAAAGATGTGATATTTTTGAATACTAACTCAATGGCGTGTTTAATTTTTCAACTATTCTTTGTGTCATGAGCTGAACTAGCATGAAGACTCTTTACTAGGGTTTACTCCTTTGTTCCTTCTTTTCCTAAGTACAAACCATTTTATGAAAAAATTGCTCATTACACTGAATCTTCAAATGGAAATGGCTTATTCAGTAGACCAATATTTGGCTCTTTGTCATTTGTTTTAATGTATTTTTTGCACAGATAATTTATATTCATTATAGAAAATTATAATATGCAGATATGCTAAAATGATCCTTAAATCACCTATTATTCTGCCTTTCACATATAACCACTGCCAGTTCTAGTGGTGCGTGCCTGTTGTCCCAGCTACTCGGGAGACTGAGGCAGCAGGATCGCTTGAGCCCAGAAGTTCTGGGGTGTAGTGTGCTCTGCCAGTCGGTCAGGTGTCTGCACTAAGTTTGGCATCAATTTGGTGATCTCACTGGAACTGGGGACCACCAGGTTGCCCACTGGAAAAGGAGCAAGAACGAATGCCGATCAGTAGTGGTATTACACCTGTGAATAGTCACTGCATTCCAGCTTGAACAACACAGGGGGAACTTGTCTCTTTTAAAAAGTGAAAAAAAAAAAGCCGGGCGCAGTGGCTCTTGCCTGTAATCCCAGCACTTTGTGAGGCCGAGGTGGGCTGATCAGGAGTTCAAGACCATCCTGGCTAACATGGTGAAACCCCGTCTCTACTAAAAATACAAGAATTAGCCAGGCATGGTGGCAGGCGCCTGTAATCCCAGCTACTCGGGAGGCTGAGGCTGAAGAATCACTTGAACCTGGGAAGCAGAGGTTGCAGTGAGCCGAGATCATGCCATTGCACTCCAGCCTAAGTGACAGAGCAAGACTCTGTCTCGAATAAAAGAAAAAGAAAAAAGTAAAAAATAAAATTTAGAAATTAAAAACTACTAGTAACATTTTGATGTGCATCCTTTCAGATATTTTTTAGTGTATCAGCTTTTAGTCTTGTTTTAATTAAAAGGCAGCTGCCTTTTTAATTTTAATCCTACTTTATTGAAATCTAATTTATTTGTCTTTTACATTAAAAATTACATTATGAACTTACCGTCACTTTAAATAGAATAATAACTGTTAGGGAAATGCCTTTTATTATAATTACATTTTTTGCTGTCCAAAAAAGTTATTAATTTTTTTTTTTTTGAGACGGAGTTTCACTCTTGTTGCCCAGGCTGGAGTGCAATGGTGCGATCTCAGCTCACTGCAACCTCCACCTCCCAGGTTCAAGTGATTCTCCTCCCTCAGCCTCCCGAGTAGCTGGGATTACAGGAACCCACCACCACGCCTGGCTAATTTTGTATTTTTTTAGTAGAGACGGGATTTCACCATGTTGGTCAGGCTGGTCTTGAACTCCTGACCTCAGGTGATCCACTCACCTCAGCCTCCCAAAGTGCTGGGATTACAGGTGTGAGCCACTACGCCTGGTCATTTTCTAATTTTTAAAATTGTTTTCACCTGCTGCCTTTCAAACTTAAAATTGCAGTAGTATAAACAACAAAGTACAAGTGTTGAGAATGCAGTATTTCCATACCTATTAGAAATGCGTATCAATAGGATGTACTTGAAAGTAGGTTACCTAGCTGAGCTCAGTGGCTCACACCTGTAATTCCCAACACTTAAGGAGGCAGAGGCAGGAATATAGCTTGAGCCCACGAGTTCGAGACCAGTCTGGGCAACATAGCAAGATCCTATTCTTCACAAAAAGGAAAAAAAAAACACAAATTATAGAAGTAGATTATCTAAAGAAACTTTGGCTTTAGTTTATGTTTAACTTCCAAGGAATTAAATATTTAGCGCATGCATTATCTAACCTTTCTTTGTATTTGCAATCAGGGAAACAAAATGTACCCATTTTGTAGATTAAGGAATTAAGACATAAAATGGAATGACTTGCTCTAAACTGGGTAGTGTATCCTTTAGGATTAGATTTAGCTATGACAGAAAATCCAGAAAAATAGTTGCTTACAAGGTCAAATTTTATTTCCCATGCAAAAGTTCAGAGGGAAGCAGTTCAGGGCTGGTAGATCAACCTCATAAAATCATCAGATTGCTGTACTGTTGATCTGCCAGTCTCATCACTCTGTAAACTTGGGGTCTCAAGGTAGCTGCACTGGCACCAGCCAACACATTTGTATTTCAGTCAGTAGGAAGAAGCAGATTCCTTCCCTTTTAAATTTAAACAGCTTTATTGACGTGATTTACATGCTGTGCAATTCACCCATTTAAAGTATACAATTCAGGCAAGGCGAATGGCTCACTGTAATCCCAGCACTTTGGGAGGCAGAGGTGGATCACCTGAGGATCAGGAGTTCAAGACCAGCCTGGCCAACATGGTGAAAGCCCATCTCTACTACAAATATATAAATTAGCCGGGCGTGGTGGCACATGCCTGTAATCCCAGCTACTCGGGAGGATGAAGCAGGAGAATCACTTGAACCCGGGAGGTGAGGTTGCAGTGAGCTGAGATCGTGCCACTGCACTCCAGCCAGGGCAACAAAACAAGACTCTGTCTCAAAAAAATAAATAAATAAAAATAAAGTATACAATTCAATGGGTTTTAGTGTATAGGGTTGTACAACCATCACAATTTAATTTTAGAAAATATTCGTCCATTCTAAAACCCCATACACATTAGCAGTCACTCCCTAGCCCAGTCCCAGGCAAATACAAATGTACATTCTGTCTCTCTATATTTGCCTATTCTAGACATTTGACATAAATGGAATCATACGACTTGTAATCTTTTGTGACTGGCTGCTTTTATTTAGCATACTGTCATCAAGGTTCATCTGTGTTGTAGCATGCATTGGTCCTTCATTCCTTTTTCTTGCCCAATAGTAGTCCATTGTATGGCTATACCACATTATATTTATTCATTCATAACCTGACGGACATTGGCTTGTGTCCTCTTTGGCATATATATACACATATATATGTGTGTGTATATATATATATGAATGCTGCTAATGAACATTCGTGTTCAAGATTTTATGTGAACATGTTTTCATTTCTGAAGGGTGTATACACCTAAGACTGAAATTGTGGGTCATGTGGTAATTCCACTTTTTACTTTGAGAGATTGCCAAACTTTTCCAAAGGACCATCCCTAGTTTCTATTCCCACTAGCAGCATATAGGGGTTCTGATTTCTCCACATCCTCCCCAGTACTTGTCTCATTTTAATTACGGCCACCCTGTGGATATGAAATGGTATCTCACTGTAGTTTCGATTTGTATTTCCATGTGTTTACTGTTCATTTGTATATCTTTAGAGAAATATCCAGATTCTTTGCCCATTTGAGAATTGGATTGTCTTTTAATTGTTAAGTTGTGAAAGTTGATTCCCGTACAAATCCCTTTCCTCCCATTCTGTGGGTTGTCTTTATACCCACTTGTTGGAATTGTTTACAGCACAAAGGTTTTCGTTTTGAAAACTTTCGTAGTTCATCCAGCTTGTGCTTTTGGCGTCCTAAGAAACAATTGCCTGGCCCAGTATGATGAAGAGTCGCTCCTGGGTTTTTTGTGTTTGGTTGGTTTTTGTTTTTGTTTTTGAGACGGAGTCTCCCTCTGTCGCCCAGGCTGGAGGTGCAGTGGCATGATCTCAGCTCACTGCAATTTTCGTCTCCCAGGTTCAAGCAATTCTCTTGCCTCAGCCTCCCAAGTAGCTGGGATTACAGGCGTGAGCCACCGTACCTGGCCCTTTCTCCTGTTTTTTCATAGGAGTTTTATATTATAGGTCTATGATGCATTTTCAGTTAATGTGTGCCCTTGTTACTGGTGGACGGTATCTGAGTCACGGGGCACCAAAATATGTAAGTGGGAAGGAATCTATATGGGTCTGCAGCAACCTCAGTTCCTGCCGCCTCAGAAGAAAGAATTCCACTGAGGGGCATAAGGCAGAAGGAGAGACTGAGGCAAGTTTTAGAGCAGGAGTAAAAGTTTATTAAAAAGCTCCGCAGCAGAAATGAAAGGAAGGAAAGTACACTTGGAAGAGGACCAAGCGGGTGACCTGAAAGACAAGTACACAGTTTCACCTTTTGACCTGAGGTCTTATACATTGGCATACTTCTGGGGTCTTGCATCCCTTCTCCCCTGATTCTTCCCTTGGGGGGCCTGTCTGCATGGACAGTGGCCTGCCAGCACTTGGGAGGGGAGTGTGCACACTGCGTTTCCTGGAGTTGTACCCATGCTCACTGGAGGCCTTCTTCCCTTACCAGTCCAGTGTCCTTGGAGGATCACATGTCGGTTCAACTCGCAATTTGTGTAAGCCCACTTCCGCAGCTCCTGAGATCTTACCGAGAAGCTGATCACCAGTTTCAGGTTTTCTCTCTCTTTTGGGAGACGGCCTTTCCCTGGCCCCGCTGGATCAATTAACATTTTAGAGGGAGCATAACAACCGCCTGACTGTCGCCTGATGGTTGCCTGAGGCTCCTGGCTGGAAGCGTGGCCCTCTCCTGCCCTGTTCCAGTCTGACTAGCGACCTGCTGTCACCCCCCTTCCCTTTTAAGGACTTTTCTGGAATATTGCCTGTGCCACCTGCTTTTATTCGCTGGCCAGAACTTAGTTACTGGCCATCCCCGTGGTCTGTATAGGAGACTGGACAATGTGTATTTCAGGCGTTGGGCGTCATGTGTAGCCGCCGGAATGGGAATGCCTGTTCAGCCATGGTCCAGCCTGAACGAGCGGGCCTCTTGCTTCATTTTGGGGGAGCTGCTGCTTGCCCGCGGTCACCCCAGCGGTCTGGCGGAGCCCTCAGCGCTCAGGGCCGCTCACGCCCCTCGGGGATCCGCCCCAAGGAGAGCGGTCCTGAGGACCTGCCGGGCCTTTA